CTTTAAGCTATTACAAATAAAGAAGAGGGTAGGGCCTTCAAAAATAACTTTACTACTACAGTTAGAAAGAAAAGATTAAATAACCATAAAACCTTGAAAATTAAAACTTTGAAAAATTGAAATCACCTATTTAGCACTTTTTAAAATTTTACTACTTTTTAAAATTTTACCAAAATTTGAAGAGAGTTCTTTAGAACTCTTTTTTAAGACTATGATGGAAATCTTGTCTGGAGCACAAACTGTAGAAGTGTTTAATTGAGAATTAACTTTAGCATTGGAAGCCAGAGTAATTTCAATGTTTAACAATGGGTTAATCTATTTAACTATCAAGAAGAGTATGGCCATTTTATTCAAGAGTCAAATTAGAGTAAGACTTTTTTTCAAATAACTCTGCTTTATTCTTGAGAGAAGTAAAAAGATCAGACCTATGATTTGGAGATTAAATGTTACATTAAGTTAATGATACTTTTGAAGACTAAACGTAAGTCTCTAGAACCTAACATCTGAGATAAGATACAAGGTTTAGTAAACTGAGAATTACAGAGCTTAACATCAGACAGGATTTTTTTTCATTGACTTCTTGGAATAATAATAGGACATTTGTTCAAGTGTTTTTGTTAAAATGAAAAAAACGATTAATGTTTAATAAAACAATTGCTCAAGATAGTGAAAAAAATGTGGAGTAGAATGAGACTTGGCTTATAATTGAAGAGAATCAATAAAAGCTTCCAAACTTTTATTCCATAAGGAATAAAAGCTTCCAAGATGCACATTATGCAGTGAGGTATTCAAACTGCTCTCATAGACCTCCAGTTTTGTTACTTTTGGAAAGCCATAAAAGTGTTAGAGCTTTGGATCTTGCAATTCAACATGGAATTACAGAGCTAAGTTTGCCTCCCCATTGCACCCATTAATTTTAACCATTGGATAGAACTATTTTTGGACCATTGAAAAGGTTTTACAATGCTGCATGTGACAATTGGATGGTCAAAAATCCAAGACCAATGACCATTTACGATATTTTTTCAATAGTTCGAATTTAGAACCATATACAAAAGCTTCCTCACCATCTAGTATACAGAGATGATTTCAAGTAGCTGGAATTAAACCATTTAATCCAGAAATTAATGAATATTTACCATCATCAGTTACAGACCGTACTGCTCCAAATGCAGTAAACACTTGTTGAATGCATTTGGAGCAGTAAACAAGTAACTTATTTGGAGCAGTAAACAAGTGTTAAATGCTCTAGATGCAGTAAAGATTCTTGTGAAACCTGAAATAACTGTAGCACATGTTGATGGCATGGAGCCTGAAATATAAATAGTACATCATGAAACAAGTTTTTTGAACAAAGTCTCACCAAGTAATGCTTCATTACTCTCACCTGAAGTTATAAAACCTTACCCGAAAGCATCTGCTAGAAAAAGAAGTGTTAAAGGTAGGCAACTAAAAACTAGGATTTTGACTGATACTCCGATCAGAAATGAAATGTTAGAAGAACGTTTGTCAGAAGAAAACCCTAAAACAAACCAATCAACTAAAGAAACTCATCACAAAAGATAAAAAAAGTGGAGAATTTAAAAACTACTTGCTTAAAAATAAAAAACAATGTAAAGTAAAAGCAGCTTCGCGACTTGACTTTGACAAAGGATGATAATATAAAAAGATAATCTTGTAAACTTTAGCCTTAATGAAAGTCTTGTATGAATCTTATATATTCTTTGAAAACTTAAAATACTGTATTCTTATAGACTTTATAAGCTTTAAGTTTTGTAAAACTTTACACATATATTTGTTAGTAGTATATAATTGGCTTATTTTATAGATAGGTGGTCATTCTTCTAACAAAAATTTATTATAATTAAAACTTAATACACTGCCAGTGTATAAACCAGTGTCACTGGTGTGTATTAGTTTGTAACCAGTATCACTGGTCACCAGTGTCGCTGGCGTGTCACCAGTGTCGCTGGTGTGTCACTGGTGTGTCACCAGTGTCACTGGTGTGTATTAGTTTGTAATAATGTATTTTTTTTTATAGTTTTTACTTTTTTTTAGATGTATTATATAATATACACTAATACCCTTAGATTTGTAACTATCAACTAAACTAGTTTTGAACCTTTAACTAAACTTTAGTTGAAGGTTCAAAACTAGTTTAATGCTTTAGTCTAAAGCATTTGTAGCACTTAGGTATAGCAGTATTAACACGGTTAGCACAGATCCTTATATTGCTGTCTCAAGAACGTTAGAAAGTTAGAGTACCAAATATAACTGGCTAGCGGATTCTATTGTTTTTTCCGGGAAAAGTTGAAGCCAAAATTGGCCTCCCAAGATGGCGGCGATTTAAGTTCCTAGCGGTGAAACCAATATAGATTTTATGTGGCTTTATCAAACTTCGATAGAAAATAATTAAATAAGGCTAATAAATTGGTCAAAAATAAAAGAAAACAAATGAATTTTATATATATTAGAGAAAAAAAAAAGAAATTATTTTTGAATAATTTAATTTATTAATAAATGGCATTTACAATTTTAGTTAAATTTTGTATATAATTTATGTACCTTTTAGTTCTTAGTTACCCAATGCTGTATGCTAAAAGGCAATAACATAACTGTAATGATTGTTACGCAAAAC